AACAAACAATGTGTATTATGTAACATAAGAACAACAATAATAACTTATAACTTCATATCTAGAGATCTTAAAAGAGATTAACATTTTGTTTCCCATGCGAAGCACTAGAACACATGTCCACTCGATTAGAAGCTGTATGTTCTCACATGTGTGTCTGTTGGAACCAGACTCCAGTCTGGATAGGTAGGTGGCTCAAATAGCATGAGTCAAGACATTTGGGGATGGGATAACCAAAGATGGGTAAGTGATAGTAAAAGTCTCAGAAAATTTTGAGACTTGAGTTTATATGATTTCTCCAGGTGCTGTGTAAGAAGGTTGAAGCTCCAGGAGCTTGAAATTTTAACAGAAAAAAGCAAAGACACCATGTAGGATGACCAATTACCCCAGCTAATTTTCTTCTGCACCGTAAAGCAGAAGGTCATATGCTTAGGAAGTGATATCATAACCATGTTAACAACCATAACTCTCCAGTTATGTTCTTGTCACAGCTATGAAATCTTACTTCTTTTTTCTATTGGGAAGGGTGCGTATGTGCATGTGTGTGCGTGTGTGTGTGTATAAAACATACAGTAGGTAAATATATTGAAGGGCTCTGGTAATTTCATGGTAACCACAAGAGCAAAGCTCAAGTTGTTTGTGATGTTAACAGAAACCAGAGATGTGCTGTATGTATAGCTTCATTCACAGCCACTGAATTGCCTTTTATATAGTTCATGGATCACACAAGAGTTTAAGAGGAAAAATATTTTCTTTAAATTCATATACATAATGTCCCTTTTCCTTCCAACATACCAGAAGAAGGTCTGATAATTTTGACTTATTGTAAAACATTACTGTATTTATTTTTAATACAGGAATACCTTCTATACCTAAATTTCACTGCAAGATATTTATGTTGTAAATCCTTGCTAAGAAATGAAAATCTAATATCAAAAGTGAAGTCACTCAACCAGTGAAAATGAATAGAAAATTGATATGACTGAATCATTCTTTCGAAAAACATAACTGTCTCACTAAAGAAGATATAAAGCTTTCCTAGCATCTTGTGGCATTTCTGAAGTTCAGTTTACTAATTTGGGCTCCTTCCTCTAAGGAAGAAACCTAGGGCAACCCTTCGAAAGTTTTAGGAATGAATAGCTTGTTCACATATTTCTTTAATAAGACATCAGTATGTTTTAGGATTTGCAGCTGAATTCCCTTCTCATTTACACCTGTGCAATCTCAGTGAAGTTAAATTGAGAGAGATTTGTCTGGGATAAAAATATCAGGAAAATTTGTGGTACTAAACTTAGTTTACTGCAAACCAAACTACTAGAAATATGGAAGGAAAGAGGGATTTTGTGATACCTCCAGACCACATAGGTTATTGGGCACTTTCAAACTGAGCCTCTGAACCTTTTGATGTCTTCCCATCATGACTGTATTAAAGGCAAACTTGTGTGTGTTCCTATTTAAACAGATTTTTTGGGAAAATTCTTCCCATAATTATATCTGTGCAGCCTGGGCGACTGTAGCATTTGCCATAGTGTTTCTTAGAAAGAAATTTTAGTAAGTCAGATAAATGAGACTTTGTCGCATGTGAGTTAGCTTTGGAGATGATGAACTCCTTCAGAATTAGCTCCTGTATTAAACGCTATGTAGATGAACTAGTCACTCCATGGGAAAATCATCCTGTTGTGCAAGTTCTGAGGCTAATTATTTGGCCTGGAAATAACATAAAAAAGAATGGGGATCTGTACGCATGTGTTTGAAATATCTTTTTTTTTTTTTAGCTGTATCAGTTCCCTGTTTCAATTCAGTAAAGACTTGTACCAGCAAAACAAATTGAAATGGAACAGTGTGGAAATAGGAACGGGTGACTTGTTTTGTAGGAAGAAAGGGAAAGAAAACTCCAACAGCTGCTTAATCTGTCACTGCTGCTGCAAGAAACATATATGTAACCATGAAATACAATAAAATACAATTAAAAGTTTCTAGTATTCCTCAACACAAAAAAAAGACAGTGATTCTTGTATAGATGACCGCGTTTCTGATTTTCCCAGTACATGATTGAGACACAATGTGTGCAGCTTGGGTTTTCAAGCAAAGTGGAGATATTCTCTGGATTTTATAGGTTTTCAGCTGCTATCTTCTTTACTACTCTCTTCTGTCCTCTAATCACATACTATGTGGCTCCAAACTCATTAAGTCTGAGAAGGCAGTAAGCCTTATGATGGATGACTTCCCAGTTGCTGTACACTTAACTACCACAGATTCCAGCTCTTTCAGGGTTCCTTGTTTCCTTCTTGTCATATTCTGTAAATCTGTACTAGGAGCTGAGAAACCTTCCAAGCAATAGGATACTCAGGAATCCCTGAATCCTCAGCAATAAGAGATATACTGCTCTCTCTGGGAATGTTCTGTGTGAATGCAACAGCTTTTGTAAGCAAGGCAATGGTTCAAACAGGTCCATATAAGATATGTCCTTTAATCATAGACTCAGAATCATAGAATCATAGAATAGTTTGGGTTGGAATAGACCTTTAAAGGTCATCTAGTCCAACCCCCCTGCAATGAGCAGGGACATGTCTCCAGATAAACAACCTGTTCTCTGAAATAAAAAAAAAAAAAAAAAAAAGTAAAAACTGGCTCAGGTGGGTTAATTAAGGGGTAATAAGGCAGCTGAGGATCATTTGAAGCTGGAGAAGATTTTTCAGGGATTAATGTTTGAAAGTCTTCTAAAAACTGCTGAAGGGAAGAGGGAAGGATGGGACTGGAAAGTTCTGAAACTTTCACTAGAGTCTTTTTCCTCCTGTAGATCTCAGGAGGCCCCCAAGAAGGAGGAAGAATCCTCGATATCCTTCCCCGGGCATGTTATTCACTCCATTACCTCTCAGCAGACCACCTAAGATATGCAGGAGCAGGTGCCTGAGGTGTGCCCAACTAGCTGTGCACATGCGTGTGTGTGGAAAGGCAAGCTGCATTCCTGTGAGTGGGTGTGAAAGTGTGTGGATGCCTGTATATCTGCATGTCTGTGTGAACACGGAGGTGGGCAGACCAAGAGTTTGGGAAGACGTGTTGCTACTATGACTTTTCCCCAGCCTCCTGCAGGAAAGCAAAATGGAACATTTACTGGTTCTTTTGTGCTGCTGGAATTGCCAAGGAGCCCAAATTAGTTTGTCAGCTCCTGATGACCCCTGCTAATACAACTGTTCAAAATATTAACTTTTAAAATAAGACTTTATCTCATCCTTGCTATCTGCACTAGATCTCAGCTAGATGAGTTCAGTGAACCGTATTTTATCTCTTTAGCTTGTTGGTGGTTTGGTGAGTATGTGTTGTTGCAGAGTAATAGGACAATGGGAAAAAACCTCAGCATTAGAAACATGTTTTCATTCTGTGTGTGTGTATGTGTGTGTTTGTCATAATTCATTACTTCCCCTGACCTCTAATTTAGCAGAGAAAAAAATCACTCAACTAGGGAGATAACCTACATATCTTAAAGCCAAAATTCCTTTGTCTATGGATTTGGAATGTGAAGGCAAAATTAAGTTTGAAGTGGGAATTCACTTCACAGTGCTAACTGAAGAGTAATTGCAATTACTCCAACGTATAGCAGAGAACAAAGACATGTGGGCTTAATCCTAGTGCATTGGAGCAATGATATACTGAATAGACAACAGATTTTTAGGGTGAAGATGAATTTAGCAAAGTAAAATAAAAAGGAAGAGAGATAGTTAGTGTCTGAGAAGTTCCGTACTGTGAATGAGAGCTACAAATGTATCATGATATTTGTACATTTGAAAAAAAAAGCATTCAGGAAAGAGAATAAGTAAAAGTGGAGAAGAAATATAAAGCTGTATATTGTATAATGGTAAGTGCAAGTGAGGAATGACCAAGGAAGTTTAAGTATTTCAGAAATTATATCCATATAGTACTGATAGAGAGATAGAGAGTGTTTAAAAAGAGGGAAGGACAGCTGCTGAGTGTGAAGTCTGACTGAAGCAAAGTGTATAGAAGAGGAATGAAAGAATGCACACAGATAATGACAGGAGCTGACTTGTGCTAGGTCTTGAAAATCTTTCCTTCTCTTCATCTAATAACAAATAAGTGAAAAACACCTATCTGTAAATATAATCTATACATTCATGATAGGAGAAGGCCTGAGACTCAGAATGAAGCTTTAAGGGACTGCCAAGTATAGAAGGCATTACACATCAAAGCTTGAATACGTGATTACTCCAGATCTTCAGCAGACATTGCTGGTAACCACAAAGTTTGTCTCCTAGTCTGTCATGCAACGTTTTCCAGGGACGCACAGTGCAGCCAGTTAAGGCTGAGAGCTGAAACAGAAATGCCCTCAAGTATAATTTCATGTAAAAACATCATGAAAAGAATTTTTATCTTAAAACCATATTTGAAAAAACTTTAGGAAAAACTCTTGGATGTATTATCAACCATGCCTGTATTTTATGTATTAATTTGTTTTAAAGTAATTATGCAAGGCTTCTCAATATTTAATTTTGCAAATACTTGTTGGGCTTTGTCACTTAAGAAATCATGGTTTGTTTTGTTCACCTTTCTGTACTGTTTTCTACCATTACACTAAGAAAGAATTCTGATGAGGAGAAGATTTTATGGTGAAAACAGCTATGATATTGTACACTTTTTTGACATTTTTTCTTTAAAGTCATTTGTGTGCTTCCACAAATTTTATGGACTGGCTGGGCTGGTGGCATCCTGAGGTTCAATGGTAAACAGGATAGAGCCACAGAGCAAATGCATGACAGATCAAAGAATATGATTCAGCAGCCTTGCTCTTAGGTGAATGACCCAGTATTTTGACTCCTGTAATGTCTTCATGGTATTTTCTAATATGATTGCAGAGAACTAGTTAAGTCCTTGTTGCTTGTGTTAGAGGAGATCTAATAAAAGATGTGTTAAGTAAAGCAAACCTTTAAACTGCAGAAAACAAAAGATGAACTATCTAAATTTAATCTTATTCATTTTATATGTTCCAGATTCAGAACAATCTGTGGGCAGGGAATGCGGCTAGCGGTTCTGTGGTTACTTCCTGCATGCTGCCACGAGATACGTCCTCCTGTATGACACCTTATTCCCATTCACCCCGGACAGATTCTGGCTACACAAGCTTTTCAAACCACCAGAATCAGTTCAGCCATGTGCCCCTCAATAATTTTTTCACTGACTCTTTACTTTCTGGAGCAACCAATGGACATGCTTTTGAAACCAAGCCGGAGTTTGAAAGGAGGTCCTCCAGCATTGCAGTTCTACGGATGAAAGCCAAAGAGCATGCTGCCAATATTTCCTGGGCCATGTAATATAGCAGTACCCTTTCTTCATTTCCTTTTTTTTTTAAATAGCAAACTGAAAACATTTTTATTTCCCATATTTAAAGGACACAACAATAAGCTGCTGTGTGTGGAATGCTAGAAATCACAATATACATGATGTCTGCTTAAACAAATGCAATATAATATTTAACAATAAAATAAGAATAAACCAAATAGTTTTACCATGCATCAAGCTCAACAAAACCTCTTTGTTTTGGTTATTATATAGAAATATGTTTTGTTGTACCAGTTCATGAAATATGATTATAGAACCTGCAAAAAAGAATAAAACTATTAAGCAAATATGTCTACTCCATTGGTTTTTAGCAATCCTGAATACAAAATTAATGCTTTACAAATGAATTCTTCATAAGGGAACAACTCTATAAAGGAAAATAAATTTATTATAGTAAAACCATGAAGTAAATCTCTAAGCACACCACGCAGAGAAGGAAATATATGATCGTTCATGTTGTAGGTGGAATTTGTAGACCTAAATCTCCCAGCACTGTGCTGCTGCTCTGAGCCAGCTCTGCTGTTTTGCTAAAACGAATGTTGATCTCATTGGAGTTATATCAATGCACAACTAATGTAATGAGTATAGAAGGTACTCCTTTATTTTATGGACCTGAGTGTAATCTTATTAAAGATAATGACAATTTTTTTGCCAAACATATCACTAAAAGCAGGATCAGTGTTTAATAGAGTTTTCAAAGATGTGCACAGATTATGTAAGTCAACTAGTGTTTAAATGAAATCTTGAAGGTTGCAGATAGGGTATCTTGAAACTTAGGTGACTGGAAGAGAGCATGGAATAGTACTGTGACGCTTTCAACAGAATCCAGATTTAGAAAAAACCCACAACAGCAGCAAAGTCTGTTTTCCAATCCAGTCAGTCTTACTAACTGGTTTTTGTTATGCTATGGTCAAACTGAAAAGAAAAAAAGCCCAATAAGGCATGCCAGTTTCAGTCTGTAACGGATCTCGAGATGTTATAAGAGTACTTTTCATTTAGTTTTAGTTACAGCTTGTTGATACTTTGCTTATTTGTTTGGGTTTCTTTTTTGAGTGTAAGACTGGTTTGCTTCCTTTAAAGTCAATAGGAAAAATCTTTTCGGCTGCAGTGGCAGTAGGATTTGGCTCTCAGCTTCCAGCCTATCACAAAGGAATTAAAATGTCAGCAGACTTTCTGACATTTCTGGTGGAAAAAAAAATAGAGGAGAAGAAAAATACTTTACATCTGGAGAATTGCTATCTGCTTTGATTTACTTCTCCTCCCTTTCCCCTGTCACATTCCAAGCTCCTTCAGATGAGTGAAATGTCAGCCTCTTTGAAAGCAACAGTCAGTCTCTCAGGTTCATAAAGGCAAAGTAAATTAATTGAAATAAAGAAGGACTTGCATGGCTGTGATTAGAACAGGATACAACTCTCTGGGCACCCCTTGCTCCTTCTTGCTTTTCTCTCTGGCCATTAGTTAGGAACGGAGGATGGATGGGGGGAGAAGGGAAGATCAGGGAAGCACATTTTATCACAGCAACTGCAGAACTACCAGTACTCACAAAACCAAACTCACAGGAACCCCCAGATTGTCTCTGCTCCCACTCAGGAGGCTAAACTTGAAAACAAAAATAGGAGATGGGTCCATTCTGCAATCTTTCGGTGGAAAACAGACTTGACTTTGATGTTAACTTGGGAATTTTACAGCAGGTTCTTACACAGCTGATTAAAAGGAAGGTTGTCCTATTCGCCACTAGTAATACACTCAAAGTTTAACACATACATATACTCCAATTTGTGGTTTCCTAATTTTATTCTCGTTCTAAAACTTGTTAAACTTTGGCCTGAGGAACTGGGAAAATTTACCTTTTCCTTTTTTATTGTCTCTTTATACAGCAGTAAAGGAGCCTTATGATTTAAAGCAAAAAAGAAATTTCATTAATACAGGTAAAGATACTAGTTTTATATAGACACTTGTGCCACATGCAGAAGGGTGAAAGTGGTGGAAACACAAGGGGTTTTTAGCAGGTCAGACTGTTTCCAGTTCTAAAACATGTTTTGGGTGGTTTTTTTTTTTTTTTCAGTTGCCACATAATAATTTTTTAAGATACAGCATTTAGAACACATCAGAGTGATTTCAATATAATTTTTATTAGAGCATCATTAGTGGATAAAGAAGCAAAAGCTTAGCTGGCAAACTTCAAGCCATTTTTGTTGTTGCCTCTCTTTCAGTTTACTTATTTATTTTGATAGCAGAATTTGCCATTATTGTCTTGTGAAATCCAGAAAAAAGTTCATTTTTCCAAGGTTTTTTATGTCAAGAGTGGAATTAAACAATTTCTAGGAAATTATTGCAGTGACAGAATACCTGGGGAGATTAAACATAATTTTCAAAACATTACAACATTTTTAGATGTTTGAAGCCTCCAAAATCAATGGAGAAAATAAAAGCCTATGTCATCTTCCTGCTGATTTTAATTAAGTGAAAGGGATACAATTCTAATTAATTTTTCATCCACAGTTTTAGCAATGGAAATTATTTGTTACATGTTGCTAGCATAACTTTATACATTAGACAAACAGGTATTCAACCCTTCATTAAACCTGAGGTGTGATAAGTTGCAGGCCTGCATTAAGCTTGTCATGCTCTTGCATCAGCCTCGTCTCAAAGAATGAATGATAGTCTGTTGGTTGCAGTGTTTCATTTAGCTAATGAAAAAGTATCTTCATGTTAGATGTCAAGTACTACAACAGGGTCACATTCTGCCACTTTTATTTAGTAGTGCTTTACTCCATGAGTGGACGCATTGATGTGAGTACTCACATAGGCCAAATTGTGAATCACTTGTAAATGTTTATTCACAATGGCCCCATTCATGCAAAGGGCTGCTCAGCACAACATGAGTAATCGGTTCATAATCAGGCCCAGCTTAAGGTACTATTCAACTCTGCTAAGGGTGGCAGAATCTGGCCCACGCTGGCTTAAGGCCAGGCTCAGATTTTTTAACCAAGATGAGTAGCTCCTTATTCCACAAATAGTGCAAATAGAGCCAACAAGGCTATTTGTAGGGTACTCTTTTTATAAGAAAATTCTAGAAAAGAGGCATTTCAGTATATGCAAATAATTTCAGTAAATTTCTATTCAAGGTAAATAATTTTATTTTCCACTGGACTATACTCCCACATTTGACAAGACTTGTGTTCTTGTGCTTTGATTTTATTCACTTAATGATTTCTTAACATGAGCAACCAATCTTTTCGCTGCTTCTTCAACATGTGGTAAATGCAGTAAAAACAAAAGGAGGTGATTTACATAGCCTTCCTGCCAAATACTTTAACTAATGTTTGAGATATGTGATCATCATGCAATGCTGAGAAGTAAATTTATAGAACTTCTGGGCAAAGAGTCCCTATCCTGTTAAAAGAGAAAGTGAAATATTGTTGTAACTATTGCTGTGAAGAATTTGTGATGACATAGTGCTGCACTATTTTTTCTCCTATGATTGATTCATCAACAATTTAAAAATGTTAAGCCTGTATCTGAACAAATTTTTTGAACAGATGTAAAGTTATCAATGAAAAGCAAAAAGCCTCTTTAAGATTTCTACAGACTCATGTCAGTGATGGACAACACTTCACTAGCAGCTAAAGACCCAATCTCCTTACGATAAAGATGGTTGGAAAATTTTGACAAAACTGATTTATACCTACAGCTTAATCATCAGTGTTATAAACCACAGGAACATATCAATGAAGGCATCTTTTGTTGCTGAGAATAAGCTGAAATTAACTATATTTTTCACTTCACTTCTTTACTGTCATAATATTTTACACTGTCAAGTGTTGAAAAAATCCATTTCAATGTTAAAGGCATTTTATTTTGACTGTTAAATTTATGGTAAGGCGCCGAATTATGTAATTTGACAAATATGACCAATACTGTTCATTTAATACTGAGATACTTTAGCACAATAGAAGTAAATTATTTTGTTTGCAAAGAATAAAATATTACAGTGTTTTCAAAGTGACACAGATTAATTAATATTTTATTGATAAATTTCTAAATATCAGAGGTATTCAGAAATCAGAGTGAAATCATGCTGATCAGAGTTAGTCATTTAAAACACTTACACTGCTGACGTTCAAAATGTTTCCAGGGGAAGTTCTTTCTGTGACAAGGCACCGATTTCTTCCCCCCAGCACTTTCATACCCGATTAACAAGTGGCCCACTCATATTACCTCCAGAATACACACTTCTTATCCCTCTACAGTGATCTTTTTAGATTTGTCTGGCATCAGAATGATAGGAAGACATTGTGAGTTATCCGAAGCACGGTACCCATTTATTTTATACCACTTTTGAGTAGCCCAAAGGAGCTGAAGTATATATATCGAGTTTAACTAGATTTACAGCTGCTTTGTATTGCCAGTGCAACACAAAAGAGCTGTGGTACACTGGTGAATTATCATATGAAGTATTGGTGGTATAAGCAAACTTATTAAGTAAACATCCAAAATGTAAAGTTGTGGCAGTTGAAAGAACATATTTTAGAATTAAATTGTGTAAAATGAGCATCAGGCTGGGCAGCACTGAGTGTGAGGTGTGGGTATGAGAAAAGGAGTGTGCAGTGAGTATGGGGGTATGATGACTGGGAATGGCGGAATAATCTTCTGGGAGGAGAGTCAGGGTGCAGTGCTGGAGCAAGGAGGAAACCTCAACTCAATGCAGCCCTCCCTTCCCTCTCTTGCTTACATTCCCCCACCTAAGTCTCACCAGGACCTGTCAACATAAGATTTATTGTATTGTCACACCTGTCCTATCTCTATTTGCGAGAACAGTCTGGGTTTAAGGAGGGATATAAAGAACCCCAAAAGTAAGTCTTGAAGAGACAGGGATGGTAGGTGGGTGACTGTCACTGCCAATAAAAACATATTGGGAAATTAAAGAGGAATTTTGGGGTAAAGCGTCTCTAATAATGAATTTCAGGTTTTCTTTCCCTTCATTTTTAAGGCAGCATGAGGGCAGATGTTAAAGTACAGTGATGGTTGGAGCTGTGAGTCTACCAAATTCCTGAATTGGAATTAATGGATTAATTGGAATGAATAATTAATTGGAATTAATTAATTAACAACACAAATATTAAACCTGATACAGCTGTGGCATGCAAATGACAGAACATATCACAATACTGTAACATAAGACATATTTGAGATATTGGGCTGTTTCTGACAGTTATTTTTTTGTTCTGTTTAATAACAATGTAAAAATTACATCATTCCTCACCAAATCTGTTTGTTCAAATGC